GAGGGGGCAGCGGCCGGACCCCCTTTCCCCCCCCCACAGCGGGGCGGTAGAATGGAGCAGCCCCACGCTCACCGCCCATCGGCGCCGCCCCACCGCCTGCCTCAGTTTCCCCGATCCCTTCACACCTCCTCGCCCGCTGTGCCCCCCTTGCTTGCCGCTCCCTCTCCCCCCCTCCCTTGCCCACCCCCTCAGCAGGACCGGGGGCTGCGGGCAGTCGATGCCAGCCCGGCTCTGGCCCTTTAAGCACGGCGCGGCGCGGCTGTCCCGGATCAGCCGGAGCGCCTATTAAAATTTTATGCGAAGTGTAAATGGGCCAGGTCTCCAGCTTCCCGCTCCCTCCGAATGATTTATTACTCGCAAATACCACAGAACTAATTAGTATAGTAATTAATTAATACGAATTTGCATATTTGCATGTGCAATTAGTGCAGTGGAGTGATTACTCTGAAAATGAGAAGTTGGGCTTGTCAGATGGTAGTGTGAACTGGAGTGGAAAAGCCTCGTGCAAATGAACCCGGGCGGCGGCGGCACGCGGCGGCACACGGCCCCGGCCCCACGCGCACCGGGAGGGCACGCGGCCCCACGTGGCCCCACGGCGGGGCTTCGGTCCCCCGACCCACGGCCCCATCCCGGCCCTGGGCCCCGCCGTGGGGACCGCTCCATCCATCGGCCATCTCCATGGCGACTCGTCGTGCCAGGCGCGTCGCCATGGCAACGGGCCGGGCCACGCAGCCTCGCCATGGCGACTGTCGTCACCGTGTCGCCATGGAGATTTACACCCCCCCACCAACCTCCCCCCCCCCCCCCCTTCAACTTCCCCAAATCCGCTCCCTGCCGAATGGCACGGGGTTTTGGGATGGGGGATCCGACGCTCCTCCATACGGGGTCCCCGAGGTGCCCTGGGATGGTGGTCCCTGAAGCGGCAGGAGGAGGGATGGCGGTACCTGGAGCACCCAGAAATGGCCCCCAAGTCGCCCCTGAAGCATCCAAGGATGAGGAGTAAAAGCTGAATGAAGTGGGGAGACCCCAGATTGCCCTGGGATGAGAGAGGAGAGCCAAACCCCACAATGACAGCATAGGGCTGGATCCCCTCCACGGGCTGTTGGCTCAAGATTCCAGCAGGGCAGAGACCAGGCGCCCCCAGCCCCAAATCTCCTACTGGGCACCATCTCCTTTGTTCCTGGTGCCACCCCGCTCCTCCTCCTCAGTGTGCCTGCACCCCCTGCCCCACTGCAACCCATTGTCAGAGCCAGCGCACCGCCAGCACAGCCACCTCCCCCCCATCACTGGGACATTGGAGGGAGGTGAGCACCTCTGTGCTGGCTGGGGGGGGGTCCTATGGGGGGTGCACAGTTACAGGCAGCATCCGTGCACCACGTGCCCCCCCTCCCCATCCCTGCAGCAGCCCCGAGCAAACGCCATCTGCCAGCAGCGCTTTGTCACCCACACATGGCTGTGCCCGCGCCGGTGGCACTGCTGCGCTCCCACCCCTGCCATTGTGACATCACAGCACTGCTACTGTGACGTCACAGACCAGCCATTGTGACGTCACGGCCCCGCCATTGTGATGTCACAGACCAGCCATTGTGACGTCACGGCCCCGCCATTGTGACGTCACAACGCAGTTACAGTGAAGCCGTAGCCCAGTCATTTTGATGTCACAGCTCGGCCATCATGACGTTGTAGCCCGGCTGTCGTGACATCACGACACATTGTGGCCTGCACAGGGCAGCCTTTTCACCTACCTCGCAGGTAGGAGCTGCAGTGATGCAGAAGTGCCTCACGTCCTGCCTGGTGGTGGCTGATGAAGGGCACATGTGACCCAGGACGCTCATCCTCCCCCCCCCCCCTGAAGCCCCCCAGCTCTGCACGGTTGCAGCTCCAGCCCTTTCCCACCAAACAATTCCCAGGTCGTCGTGCACCCAATGAACACCTCATGCCATAAAACCGAGTCCATGGCTGGTGTGAGTCACAGCGGGCAGGAGGAGACAGCAGAGGGGACAGCGTCCTGTCCAGAGCCCTGCGGTCGGTCACAACCCCTCTCCGTCCTCCTCCTGCAAAAGAAATGGAATTCAAACGCGGCCCCCAGCTGCTGGCAGAGTCCAGACCCCTCTCCCTTCAGGGCCACCCCTTTCTTCCCCCTGTGCCTCAGTTTCCCTCTGCCACACGCTTCCTCCTCCCGGGGCTCTCTGTCCAACCCAGGTCGCCTCTGTTCCACCGCAGACAGGCACAGGCCTGGCCCCTACGGCCCCATCCCCAGAGATGCCGCTGCCCCACAGATGGGGACCCGCTCACCACCGGCTCCAACGCACACGTGGAGGGGTCCCACGAGGCAGAGCTGATCCGGGGGCCTGAGGGTGATCATCCCCAGAGGCCACGGGGACGGGGACAGGGATGGGGACGGTGACAGAGGCACGCTTGACTCCTGCCGCTCCTTCCCGTGCTGCCACATCCCCGGCGGTGGCCGCGCGGCTCGCATCCATCTCTCGCAGCCTTCACCTCCCAGAAATATTGCAGCACGGAGCCGACTCCATCTGGCAGCACAGCCCCCCCGCCGCGCCTCGCGGGGAGACGCCGAATCAGCCCCGAGCGGCCCTGCTGCGCTCAGCCCCACGGCGAGGGGCCAGGACCCCCCGTGTCCCAGCGCGGTGCCCTCATGGCGGACCGTCTTCCCCCAGACGCCCACAGGTCCTCTCCCGTCACCTCCGGCCGAGTCACGTCACCCACCTCCAGCCGATGCCACAGCTCCGGGCACCGTCCCCATCCGCTGCCCTCCCGCTGCAGGACGGAGGGGAAGGCTGGAACTGTAAGAAGAAGGGGCTCCGTTGGGCAGCACGGCGCCCGGCTCTGGTGCCTGGAGAGATCACACGGCCTCACCTGCAACCCCATCCCCACAGCATGTCAGGCCGGAGCCTGCGAACACAGCCCTGCTCCCAAATCTGGATGGGGCCGCTGTGCTCTGCCCCTCCTCCAGTGGAGGGGACAGCGTGGGGACGGCACGGAGGTCCCTCACGGGCTGGCTGAAGCTCTCCACCTCCACCGCAGCCCCGGAGCAATTAAGCAGCCAGTTTGGATTTTCATCTCCCCGCGCCCCTTTCATCTGCTCTCCCCGTTTCATGTCTCCACTTTCTTCTCTCTCCAAGCGGCTGTGCATGCTGATGAGGCTCCTGCCCGCTCCCAGCCCTCACCACGCGCCTGCTGCTAATGAGGTGGCATGGATGCGACGGCTGCGACGTGGGGCTCCTCCTGTCCCCGTCCCCGCGTGGCTGTGGTTCTCACCGACCCTCAAGCAGTTCCTCAGCCTCAGGCGGCCCCAAAGCCCCGTGGGCACCCTGGGCTTGGAGAGCTCAGGGGACTCGGGGGGCACAGGCAGAGCGAGCTGGAGCTGCGCCGTGGGAAGCGCCGCGATGTGCTGTGCTCACCCTCGCAGGGCACTGCGGGTAGACGTGGCACTGACACCGGCACGGCCGGGCCCTGCCTTCCTCAGCTTCAGCCCAGGTGCCATCTGCTTGGCTGCAGCCGTGAGTGACAGCACGAGGTGTCCCCCACACACACTGCTGGTGGAGGTCCCCTGTCACGTGCCAGCCTCGTCGCCTGCACCGGGGCGGTGGGAGATGTGGCCGCTGGCACAGACCCCACGGATGGGCACGAAGAGTCCTTTGTCTGCAGGCAGGTGGCAACCCCCGCTGTCACCACTGCCACTGTGTCCCTACAGTGTGGCCAGGCCCGTTTGGGGACACAGGGATGTCATCTGCGTCACTCGAGTCAGGGACAGAGGGGACAGAGCCAAGCAAAGCTGTAGTGGCCAGGAAGTGATGACAGCCCCAGGGCAGAGCTTGCAGCGGGGGGACCCAGGGATGCAGCACACCTGTGGGTGTCCCCATGCTCTGCCTTGGGATGTGTCCCCATTCAGTGCATGGTACAGGGTGCGTGGTGCAGCCTGCAGGGGCCCGCAGTCTGTGGTGACACGTGGTCACCTCCTCCTGCCCTCAACAAGGCACTGCCACGCAGGGCCAGAGCGCACGCATGGGGCTGATTGCAGGGCCGAGGGCCGGGGATCAGTGGCTTCCAGGGACACCAAGATGTGCCAGCAGCGCCAGTGTGCAGCACAGGGGCACGGGGCTGGAGAGGGCCAGCAGCACACGGCAGACAAAGGCCTGGTGGGTGGCACTGCAGCACAGCACGGCCTCAGCCATTGGCAATGGGGGACCCGCGGCCTCAGGGTTCGCTGCGTGCCCCGCTGCATCGCAGAGGTGGCTCACACACGTGCACACATGCAACCTGCATGCATGTACACACACATGCCTGCGCGTGCACACACGTAGGAGGACGCTGAAGACTGGATGCGTTCATGCAGGGCTGCGCGGCCGGGTTTGCAGAGAAAAGATGGCAGAGCTGCGCAGCCCGGGGGGTGCCGGAGGGGTCCGGGGTGGACGGCGATGCCACCACACGTGGAGACCCACAGCCCTCCCCGTGCCATCCGCACCCTCTGCCCACATCAGCGCGGCCAAAACGGGCACCGACCGCACCGCCGCCTCCCACGGGCCGTGCCCACCAGCAGCCCCCAGCCCACGCCGGGCCCCGTTCTGCAGCAGCGGCCGCGGATGCGAGCCACGCGCTGTGTGCAGCCATCCGCCGATGCCAGCTCGCAGTGAGGGTCCCTGTGGCATCCCCCCCTCAGCCGGCACCTCCAGCTGCCCCCAGCACACACAGGCCGCCCCGTGAGCCCGGTTCCAGCGCCCTGCCTGCGCTCCATTGTTCAGCCCCAGCCCTGCTATCGCCTGCATCTCGCCCAGGTCCCATTTTGCGGCGTGTAGGCAGATCTGTAGATTTGGAAGGGGTTTTTTTCTTTTTTTTTTTTTTTTCTTTTTTTTTTCTTTTTTTTTTTTTTTTTTTTTTTTGAGTACAGAGTGACAGATGGCGAGTCCTCCTTCCCCAGAGAGACAAATCTCCCTGAATGCAAGCGCATGTCAATCATTAGCTCTCATGTGATAGCTCTCGCGCATGACGTGCCAACCATATGGCACTGGCAGCAGAGCTGGTACCCCCTTTGCTGGGTAGAGATGCCACTCTCGCCTCCTTTTGGATAGAGGACTGCAGGAGGCTGGAGCACCTCAAGGAGCCGCGTCCCGCTCCCAGAAGATGCTGGGAACAATGAAATAAGAATTCCTCCAGTCAGCGCCGAAGGTGAGTTATGTAAGAAGTGGAGGGCTGGGAGGGCAGCGAGGAAACTTGAATGGAGAAAAGGCAACTTCCATGTTGGTTTGGTTTCTCCGCCACGTCTCGCCCTTTTTTCCCCTTCTTTCGTTCTCCCCCATCCTTCTCTTCTCCCCATCCCCGCCGGCCCCGCAGGTGGCATTTTCCCCCCGACTCCTCCCGGGGGGTTCGGGGCATTTTCCCCCCGCCTTCCCCCCCCCGCGGTGGCCGCGCCCGGGGCTCCCGGTGAGGTGCGGTCCCGCCGGGACGGAGCGGGCAGCGGCGGCCGCACCGCATCAACGAAATCGCCTCGGAACCGCCGAGCCGCCGCCCCCGGGGGCCTCCGCCCGGCTGAGCCGCCCCCCCGCTCCCCCGCGGCGCCCCCGTTCCCCGCCCCGGGCGGCGCCTCCCGCCCCGGCCCGCCGCACCTCTCAGCCCCGGGGAGCGACCCCGCCGGGACCACCGCCCGTCCCCCCAGACCCCCCCACCCCGGGGGGGGCCTTGCCCCGGTCGCCCCCGCCGCCCCCCGCCGCGTCGCCGTTCGGTGCCGCCGCATTTTGCGGGCCGCTCTCCGCCGGAGCCCCGGGCGGTGGGGTGCGGAGGAAGGGCCCGGGGCGGGTGGAGGGGAGGGAGCACGGGAGAGGGGAGGGGGCCGAGGTGCGGAGGGGGGGGGGCACGGCCGCGGCTTTGCGCTCCGGCCCCAGGACGGCGGCTGTGGTGGAACCGTGGCCGGAGCCGCTCCACTCCGCGTCCGAAAAGTTGGAGGCGTCCAAGCGGGGCCGCGACCCGCGGGGCGAGGGGGGGCGCTGGGCGGGGGCGCAGCGGTGGGAACCGGGGCCCGGCCCAGGCAGCGGGAGCGGCGGCGGCGGCGGCGGGGATGGCAGAGAGCACGGAGGGGGGGCGGCGGCGGGGGGAAAGACGGAGGGGGGGAACCGGTGCGCGGCGCCCCGCCCCGAGCGTCGCCCCGGTGCCCCCGGTGCCTGCGAACCCGGGCGGGGGGCGGCGGAGAGCGGCCCCGCGGCGCATTCGTTTTCGCCGCATCGGGGCCGCTGCCGGCGGCGGGGAACGGCGGCTCTGCGCGGTGCGGTGCGGAGCTCCGCGGTAACGCTGCGCTCTTTGCCCCCCCGCTGCAGCCATCATGTTGACGCGACTTTTCAGCGAGCCCAGCCTGATCCCCGAAGTTCAGAAATTCTCCAGCTGGGCCGAGGAGTGCGAGGAGGATGCCCGCAGCGACAAGGAGGAGCGGAAGGGTAAGGGCTGCGCCCTCCCCGAGGAGCCGCCCGAGGGCTCGCTGGGGGAGAGCAAGGAGGAAGGGGAGCTAGGCGGGGACGAGGAGGAGGAGGAGGAGGAGGAGGAAGGCCTGGAGGAGGCGGAGGGCGAGCGGCCCAAGAAGCGGGGCCCGAAGAAGCGCAAGATGACCAAGGCGCGCCTGGAGCGCTCCAAGCTGCGGCGGCAGAAGGCGAACGCCCGCGAGCGGAACCGCATGCACGACCTGAACGCGGCCCTGGACAACCTGCGCAAGGTCGTGCCCTGCTACTCCAAGACCCAAAAGCTCTCCAAGATCGAAACGCTGCGCCTGGCCAAGAACTACATCTGGGCTCTCTCCGAGATCCTGCGCTCGGGCAAACGGCCCGACCTGGTCTCCTACGTGCAGACTCTGTGCAAGGGGCTCTCGCAGCCCACCACCAACCTGGTGGCCGGCTGCCTGCAGCTCAACTCCCGCAACTTCCTGACGGAGCAGGGCCAGGAGGGCGGCCGCTACCACGGCCCCAACGCGTCGTTCGCCGTGCACCCCTACCCCTATCCCTGCTCGCGGTTGGCCGCCGCTCAGTGCCCCCCGCCCGCCGGGCCGGGCTCGCACGGGCTGAGGACACACAGCTACTGCGCGTCCGCTTACGAGAGCCTCTACGGCAACGCGTCCCCCGATTACAACAGCTCGGAGTACGACGGCGGGCTCAGCCCCCCGCTGTGCATTAACGGCAACTTCTCCCTCAAGCAAGACTCTTCCCCCGACCACGAGAAAAGCTACCACTACTCTATGCACTACTCGGCGCTGCCCGGCTCCCGCCCCGCCGGCCACAATCTGGTCTTCGGCTCGGCGGGGGTGCGCGGGGGGGTGCACTCCGAGAACCTCTTCCCCTACGATATGCACCTCCCGCACGAGCGGGGCCCCATGTACGAGGAGCTCAACGCCTTCTTCCACAACTGACCCCCCCGGGGCTCCGCCGCGGGCTTTGGTGCAATAGCGGGACCCGGCAGCGGGTCCTGAGCCCCGTGGGGACAAAGTGCTTTTTTTTGGACCATTTCCCCCTTTTTCGGACGATTATTGCCCCCCAACCCTCCTCCCCCCACCCCCCCCTTTTTTTTTCGGATCATTTTTTCCTTTTTCTTTTTTTCTTTTCCTTTTTGAACCATTTCCCCTCCTTTTTTTTCTTTTTCTTTTTTCTTTTTTTCCTTTTTTTAATTTTAGACCGATTTTCCTTTATTTATTCATTTTTAATTATTATCGTTTACCCCCTTCCAGCCCCCCCTCCACCCTCAGGGGGGCAGCGACAAGGAGCGCACGCAGCCCGGCCCGGGGCTCTGGCTCAAAACCGCGTTGTTTCCTATTTATTTCGTTTCTTATTTCTCCCTCCCCATCTCCACCACCTCACCCCCCTCCCCCTTCTCCACCCCGCACCGTTTTGGGCCGTTTCCCCCCCCTCCGCCGCCGTGAGCCCCCCCGAGCGTTGGACACCCCGTGGGAGCGAGAGGAGAGCGCGCTGCGGCGCGGAGCGAAACTTTCCGAAGCAATAAAGAGGCGAAACGGAGATTCCAATATTTCTATCTATGCAAGCAGGCCCGGCCCGGCGGACGCTCACAGATGCACTTTGCTTTGGGGGGGTCCGGCCCGGCCCCGCTCCCGCCCCCCTCCCCCGGTGCCCGGAGTTCCTCTCGCAGCGTGTGTGTGTTTGTCAGGACGTTTTTTTACCTGTTTTAAAAAAAAAAAAAAAAAAAAAAGGAAAAAGAAAAAAAAAAAAAAAAGGAAAAAAAAAAATTCACGAAACGGAAAACAAAACAAAAAAAAAAAAAAAAAAGGAAAAAAAAAAAAAGGAAAAGGAAAAGAAAAAAAAAAAAAAAAAAGAAACGAAGGCAGAGAAAAAAAAAAAAGAAAAGAAAAAGATAAAAATAATGCAAAGCCGGCCCGGTTTTCTCGAGCTGGCGGAGCCGGGGCGCGGCGCAGGGCAGCCCGCAGCGATGCAAGCGGGAGCGGCGGGGATGGGGGGGATGCGGAGGGGCTGACGGCCCCCGGCCCGGCGCTGTGCCCGGCTGGACGGATCCCTTCGGTCGGGAGATGCCGTGAAAGCGGAGAAATGAGGCTGTTGGTGAAGCTGCCCGCACCACCGCAGAGAAACCAGCATTTTTAGAGAGCAGGGAAGGAGGAGAATTTCTGAGAAATGTTTAAAAAAAAAAAAAGGGAAAAAAAAAAGTTTTGCAAAAAAAAAAAAAAACAGCAAAAAAAAATTAAGGGAAAAAAAAAAAGGAAAAGAAAAAAACGGCAAAGAAACAAACTAAAAAAAACAAAACAAACAAACAGTTGTAGCAAAGGGGACCCGCCTGTCCGACACCAGAAGTGCTTTCGTGTTTCTGTTCCGTTTCATTTCGATTAATAAATATCTATGGCCAACGATATGCAAGAGCCCCCCCGCGCCCGCCCCCCGCCGCACCGCGGACATCGCTCGGGGCGCGGGGCCGGGGGTCCCGGCACCACCTCTGCATGCACCGCCCCCGGCGCCCCCCGCCCGGACTGCTCGGCCCTGTAATTACCGAGCGTCCTTCGACGGCGATTAATAAATATTCAATGTTGACTCCGCCGCCTTCGCCGCTTTCCTTCCGACCGGGGGCAGCGGCACGATCCCCCCCCCGCCCCGCGCCCCGCGTTCCCCGTCCTGCTCCGCTCCGGTTCCGCCGCTCGTTCCGCCGTTCCAGCCGTGCCTGGAGCCCGAGTGCGCGGCCCGCGGTGGGGCGGCGCTGATATAACGCGGCTCTGCCCCACGGGTGTCCCCCCCGGGACCGGGAGGCGGTGTCCCCCCCACCCCCCCACCCCCCCGTGCCAATAAGGGCACCGGGAACCGGAGCTCGGTGCCGGCTCGGGCGTGGCACCGTTCGCTCCCCGGGGACGGCGGCTCCGGGACCGGCCTCGCTCCGCCGAATCGGGGCGGGCACGGCTCCGCGGGAGCGGCGATGGACAAACCGACGGTCGTTGGCTCCGCGGTGCCCGCAGCCCGGCGCGGATCCCGGTTCCGCCGCCCGTCGGTTCGGTTCGCGGCGCCCGGAGCCACGTGTCCGGCGCGGAGCTGTCCGCCGCGGTGGTGCTGAACGGGCTCCGCGCCCGTCCGCCTCCCGCTGCCAACCGGCGCCGGTCCATTTCCAGTCCCCGACACCGGGACTCTGCCCCTCCCCCTCTCCCCCCACCGGACTCCGAGCGGGGCCGCGGAGTGGGCTCTCGGCGCCGGGGCCCCACGGAGCCGCTGTGCGGGAGTGGATCCCCCGGCTTCTTCCGTGGAAAACACGCGTGTTGGCGGCGTGGGCCGCGTGCCCTCGGGATTCGGGGAAAACTGGCAAGTTCGGGACCGCGGTTCGTTGGCAGCGGCCCGACGGGAAGCGGGTCCGCTCCTGCCCCAAAGAATTGGACCCGGCCCCACCGAGCAGCCCCGGCCCCGTTCCCCCAGACGGACGAAGCCTCTTCCGACGGCTCCCGCCCGTCCTCGGGAAGGGAACGTTTTCCCCGGGGGAAAAGCCCCGGGGCGCGCCGGGCTGTGGTGCCGGGGCCGAGAGGCTCTGTGCGGTGCGGCCAGGCCGGGCTTGAACGGTTCAGTTTGGGCGCTGCCGTTTATATTTTAATTCCCGGGAATTCTGTTTGCCAGCGCCCAGCGACACGCGGAGATGCGGGATTTCTCCCGGCTGCTCGGGCGCGGAGCGGCCCCGCAATGCGGCCCCGCACGGAGCGCTCGGCTCCGGTGTAAATCTCGCTCCAGCGCACGGGCGAGGTGTGAGGTTTCGTTGCACGGCTCCGGTGCCCGTCTCCACCGGAGCGAGCCGGTAGCAGCCGCGGCTCCGTGTGACCACGGGACTAAAGCCGCTCCGAGGGTCGGTGCGGGGGTCAGCGGTAACCCGCACCGCACAGGACAGGGAGAGCACGACCAAAGCGTTTTTATCGTGCTCAGCCCGGGTTCCTCCGGGCAGGACCAGGATAGGGGTGATTCCCCCACCCGCCCCCGGCTCTCGCTCCGACCCGTCCCGGTGCCCCCCGCCCGCCCGGCCCGACCCTTCGGAGCGCAGCGGGGGCGCGAGGGCAGCGCCAGCTCCGATCGCCGCTGCCACCGGCGAGTGCCAGCCGAGGGGGGGGGAAGGAGGAGTCATTGCTTCAGTTTAAATTTCATGGCATCTGTTCATTATTATACAGTGCGGATTTTTATATGGACAGCTAAATTAAAGACAGATTTCTGCCAAAATTGCAGATACCATAAAAAACGGATGCTGCCGGCTCTGGGAGCCCGCCGAGCTGCGGAGCCGGGACCGCCGCCGCCATCGGGTCCGCCCCTACGGCCCGAACCGCTCCAGGGTCCCCGAAGGGCCGAGGGGGGCTGCGGCGGCCCCGTCTGCGCGGGGCGGCCCCGGGTTCGCCGGTGTCCCCCGAGCGGCCGTCGGGGCGGGTCGGGCTGGCAGCGAGCCCCGGTGCACCGGGGGCTGCCGAGCCGCCCCCTCCCCCAGCGCGGCCTGCCAGGATTCATCGGCGAGGAGTTAAAACAAGGACATCTGTGCCTGGAATCGCTGCGAAGCTCCAAACCTGCCAATGCCTGCTGGCACGGCCCGCCGAGCAAATGCCTGGTACTCCGGAATGCTGCACAGCCTGGCAGCCCCGCCGGAAAAACCCGGCACGGCTCCGTCCCGCTCGTGTCCCCTCCGTCCCCCGGCCGCCTCCCCGCACCCCCGTGCGTCCCCTCCTCGTATCCCCAGAGAGGACTCTGCGTCCCCGTGGGAACGGGCACAAAAATGTGTGATGGAGCAGAGGGAAGTGCGGACCAGCAGAGATGGGGCAGCAGCCGGGGGTCTGCAGAAGGGACCCATCCTACTCGGCGCTCCCAGGCTTCGGGGGCAGGAAAGAGGTTCAGCCCCATGGGGGCTCAGATCCAGCAGGAGCGGGGCCAGCGCTGGCTGGGAGCAGTGAGAGCAGGTGGTGCCCACCTGAGCACTCTGCATGGCCGTGGGGAGCCTTCCCTTCCCTTCCCTTCCCTTCCCTTCCCTTCCCTTCCCTTCCCTTCCCTTCCCTTCCCTTCCCTTCCCTTCCCTTCCCTTCCCTTCCCTTCCCTTCCCTTCCCTTCCCTTCCCTTCCCTTCCCTTCCCTTCCCTTCCCTTCCCTTCCCTTCCCTTCCCTTCCCTTCCCTTCCCTTCCCTTCCCTTCCCTTCCCTTCCCTTCCCTTCCCTTTCCTTCCCATGACCCCATCCCATGCCCCATCCCCATCCCCATCCCCTCAGCACCTCGAGGTGCCCCAGCTGTGGGTACCACCCCATCCCCATCCCCACCGCAGCACCCTGGGCCCAGGCCCCCACCCCGGCTCCCTCCCCTCACCCCCCTCTCCATGGCAGGCGGTGGCACATTTCATATGGGAAATGTCCATTTTGTTGCTACTTAAAAGCTGATTTACGGCGGCTGCATCGCAGCCTTGCCTTGGCCTGCGTTCATCCCATCCTCTGCCCATTTCTCTTGGCAGCTCGGTGCAGCCGGGCTCACTGGAGGTCTGCAGCGGGTGGCAGCGCCCGGCCGCTCTCCTGCTGCGCGCTCCTCGTGCTCACAGCTGGATCCCCTCTGCCTCGATGGGTTCCTGTCAGCCAGGAGACACAACTCCGCTCCATCCCTCTGCACACCTGAGCGCCCCACTGCTCCCAAGGCACCGAGCTGCGGACGTGGGGACGGCCCTGCAAAGCCCTGACCCGCTCTGTCCCAGATGGGGCTGTGTGTCTGTGCTGCAGGACAGACGGCCGTCACAGAGTGGGACAGACAGATGTCACACCTCGGACAGATGCTGGTGGCCAAGGTCCTGCTGTCCCCATCAGCAGCCCGCCTGGCCCGGCCTTCCTGTGCATTCCTAATTAATTAAATTTTGTCCAACTATAAATCGTTTTTTTGGGGGTTAAATGTAATTGAAAAACACACCTTTGGAATCATCAAATTAACCCGGCATCCTCTTTATTAGAGTAATTAAAGCCTTTCTCAAGTTAGCGCCGGGCGGATCGGCTGGATTGTGCCGTAATCCCGGCAAAGCAAACAACTTCAGAGCAAAACTAATTACATTTAG